AGGAGGAGGAGGAGGAGGAGGAGGAGGAGGAGGAAGAATTCAACTCACTTGACTCCCTGTATGTTCACGCGTTTCCTCAGTTCTGCGTCAAAGCAAGCCGGATAGGTCTTTGCTAACGCCGAGGCGGCCAACAGGCACAGAAGGAGAAATGTCGTGTGCATTATTCTTGCTCAAGTTGATCACACTTCGATCTGACAAAGTATGTGAGGTTCACAAGTTTATAAACAAATCATGTGTGCTCGTTTGGTCTCTCCTTTATATAACAGCTACTGCAATACTACTATGGTAGCAGAGTAGCAGATCGTCACTCCCAAGTCACCAATGGGCTAGATCTTGATAGGTGGACTTATTGACTCGTTGACTGAGTAGCTACGTTTGCTTTTATCGTTTGTTTGTGCATCATTTTTGACAGATCCTGATAAAGTTATAGCCAGGATAGTACCATGACAATTAAAAAAAAATTTCCACGAGACCTACTCTAGATATATCATTTCTCGTTATCACCACTGATTATAATCCGCGTGATGATTGAATTCGCAATGTACTTGCACCGAATAATGTCGGAACAATTTCTTTTATTGGCGATGAGAGTGTTAACCTCTTCAAACTTGCGCTCGGTCGTTCTTTCTTTCTTTCTTTTTTTCTTTCTTTCTTTCCTTCCTTTTTTCGTTCTTCTTTCTTTCTTTTCTTCCTTTCTTTCTGTCCTTCCTTCTTTCTTTCTTTCTTTCTTTTTTCCAGGCGTTGATCTTCTTCTGCAGGATGTAGCCCTCAAACAACAACCCCCACTCTATTCTATCAGCTGTTTTCCGTGTCTAGGTTGCACCCACCCTCTCTTTGATGTGGTACTGCCATCTTCTTTCTGGTCTACCTCTAGATCTTTATCCTGTTCTTGGTCTTCATTCCGTACATTTTTTGGTCCATCTGTTGTTCTTCATTCTGCCGATGTGATCAGCCCATTTCCATTTTTTTTTTTTTTTTGGTAGTGTAAATTTGGGGATTGTTTTCATTCCAGATTTCTCTGTATTTTTTTGTGTGATTTATGTGATCTTTGTTATGGCAAGCTCGGTCATTACCATACGGTAATTATTATCTTTGTTCTTCTAGACAGAAATATAGCCGTCCCTGTTGGATAGAAAAAGGGTTAATAGATTATCATAAAAGTTAACGTGAATAAATAGTCGTAGCAATTATTTCATAAATGATATTGCATGACACCGGATCACATATATCTCTTTCTCACATGACTTCTTTTTTTTTTTTTTTTTTTTAACCCACAAAAAACAAAATAAAACAAAACACAACAAAAAGCTATTTCGTGCATCTTGCTTATCAGAGTTTGACTAATGATGAAACACATGGTGCTACTTTTCATTTTAGCCATACAGACTTCAAAGGACCCTTCGTTACACTGATTTTAGAATATCAATAACCGCAGCAGCATCAACGATAATAGTATAAACAACAACACCACCATCATAAACAAAAATACTACTTCTACTACTACCACTACTACCACTACTACTACTACTACTACTACTACTACTACTACTACTACTACTACTACTAC